AATAGATGTCTGTGTACTGAGACTTAAAGCCGATCCCAACTAGTTGAATCATGTAGTTAAAATTGTAAATTTCCTTGTATATGAGCAATCTGTTCCTATTTATGGTCTTATCAAATTTAATTGAATTATTAAATTCACTATCTGATGGCTTCTAAACTGGAATCCTCAGAGGCAAATTAGATATTTTTGGGGGATAAGTATGTAGAGTAAGATGAGATGTTTCATTCTGTTTTCAGGAACAACTGTGTATATTGAACAATCAACTCCGTATCCACAAGATGGTAAGCAGGTTAGCGATATTATCAACAAGAATGCCAGTATGTACTTCCAGTGACCAGTAGCCTATCAGTTTTATTCAAATGCCGATGGCTATTTTCATGTCCACTTGCTCTTTAAAACTTGCACCATCATATAATTCTATATTTGTTAGATACTTATTACTTATTGCATATGCACCATACATATCGATCCCTTCAGAGCTTCACCAGATAGAGTCGGTCAACAATGTATGCATGACATTATCTAGCAACCAGCATCTATTACTTTGGACTTGTTTATTATGCTAAATAGGGAAACACATTTATGTATAACATAATTTCCTGAACAAAAACTTCGCAAAGTAATATTTCAACTTCTTGTTGTGGTTGGTCGAGAGAACCATCCAATATTTCTCATATGTTTCTGGGAGATAATTGTATTAAGACTTTACGTATAGCTAAGGCACTTGGAGTTCCTTTAGATTTTTGTGCTTCTTATTGGCAAAGGATTAGTGATGGGTGAGTTTAGGTATACTTGGAAATTTCCTTTTTGATTGTGATGTTCTATTCCTCTATTCTGTAGGTAGTATAGGCATCATACATTTTCACCCTTACATCGTTTCAACAATCTAAGTATTTACTTGTTCAAAAAAGAAAGTTTGCATCATTAAATACTTCGACAGAACTTTTCTAGTGTATCTTATTTGTGTTTTAATTTGTTGTTACACTATTTATCATATATCTTTACTGCATCAAGGGATGGTGGAGTGGAGGATTCGGCTATGGACTATGGATTGGTTTGTTAGTTGCATCCGGATTTTCCGTTACTCCTGTGCCATCAAGTGCATGGAAGAGTGAGTTTCGACTTACAAGAGAACGCTCAAACAAGGTTACTTAAGTTCCTGCAATTAGTTTATTTGAACACAAATACATACCATCATCATAGATTAGATTTACTTTAATACGTCAAGTTTTTTGCCGTTTTCCATTCATATACTCCATCTAGTTAGATTTTCAGTTCTGTACTAAGAAAAAATTCTTGCAAGATATCATCATCTGCAGATTTTCTGACGTCATCATCTAATGTGTGTCGTTCAATCAATTTGATTTGCAGGATTATAGCAGGGAACTAGCATCTTCATTGTTTCCCTCTTTGAGTTCTTCATTGAAAAGGAAGAAAGATCATGGTAGGTATACTTGGACTTCATCTATTACGCATTTTTACTTCTGAAAAAGATTTACGTCTTCTTATTTTTTCTGGTTTGTGTAACTAATCAAAAGGAATCATTTCAGCAGACTATTTATCTATCCCAAAAGGTAGAATAACGGGCAGTGACATGTTGATTCTTGTAATGATTAATGGTTAGTGAAAAAAGAAAAAAAGACTACGGCTTATACTCAACATCTCAATCTGAGCCTTTTTATTGTGGATGATGTCCTTAAATCCGACATCAATTTTTGACATTCAATATCCCTAGTCACTTTTTCAATGTTCCTTGTTATAAGTCCTTGCTGATCTCTGGCTGTAAGGGGAACTCAGGGTATCACATTTTTATCTAATCTTTTCTTATAACCAAAATAATTCACTTTCCAGCTTCTGTACTTGGTCGATAATGGGTCTGCCCCTCTATCCTTCTAAATACGATACTTGGTTCATGGCACGATTCAAATCTGTGACGTGTGCTCAACACAAATCCTGTGTGTACTAACCTTTGCAATTGAACGAAAGCTCTAAGGGCTTCACATTTTAGTTCATCTTGATCCTAAACATTTGTATATTACGATTTCATTAGAGCCGTGAATATGTCATACTTGCTCCAGCATGTAGTATATAAGTTTGTCTCCTCTTTTTCTTTCTTGCCAATCACTTTACTTTTCGTAAAGTTTGTAGTTTTGGCATTGAGTACTAAGTTGGAACTCATTTCCCAGCACTTGTAGTTGGTGCAATTCCTATATAGAACCTATATAGATATTGCATCAAGATCTTATTTGCCATAATCCTTTTCACATGTCTTTACAAACAACGTCATACCCAGTGTAATCTCACGAGTGGGGTTTGGGGAAGGTAGAGCATACCTTACTCTTACCTTGTGGAGGTAGAGAGACTGATTTCATTTGCGTGTCTTTACCCCATCTATACATTTAAATGTTATTTCACGATTCTTTCTTAACATTCCAGGTCGAGCTGAGGCTCTTCTCATTGCTGCTTATGGCAAAGGCATCAAGATAAATTCTGATTCTCCTTGCGCCGTGGAAAATTTAGATGCTTTAGCAACCGGAGAAAAGCTAGTCAATGAATTCCATCTTTTATCAACTCCAGCGCTTAACAACTAGTCGATGAGGCTTTTCAATCAATTCGACTTTTTCCAGCTGACTCCATGCAATCTCAACGTAAGCATTGGCGAAAATCGAACTCATCCTTTCTGTGTTTAACTTGATTGTTAGCTCTGATGTAATGTAGTATCTTCATCTTTGATTGTAGGATAAGTAGTGTAGTTTCCTTCATTATAGGGAAGGAGAATTAGAGATCTTAGTTCTTGGCCTATAGTGTTTCATCATTTGTATTGAATGAAACATTTAGCATGAAACATTGTTATGTATTTATTTTCATTCACATACATATACAATGTGTTGAGGGTCTATCGGAAACAACTTCTCTATACCACAAAGTTAAGAGTAAGGTCTGCGTATATCATACCCTCTGCAAACCTCACACGTGGAACTACACTGAGTATGTTGTTGTTTGTTCAACTATAGTTTTGCGGTTTTGGGTAGTTTGGTATTTTGTTATACCAAACCGATTTCTGTCATTTCACGCGGGAAATTGTCCATTTTGAACGTTTGAAGTGGATGAACAATCATCATATGTAATCGAGTTTCATGCCAATTGAACATTTCAATTTACAAAATGATTTCGATATCTTTAAAATTTATGTGTCACATCAGCATCAGGTGTTCACGAAACAGTGAGAATAAGTTTGGAGTGTTTGATTGTTAGTTAATATTATGTTTAAATATGTATGCTCTCTCAAAAATTGAAGTGTGTCAAAGTCATTAGATTATTTTTATAATGAAAAAATCACTTAATTTTGTTTTAGTATTATGAAAACCACTTAATTATATTTCATAACAACTAATGCCACTAAACTTTGTCATTGGGAGGACATAAAAAGAAATATTTTTTTGTGATTCTTAAACAAAGTTGATTGTCATTTTTGATATATCAAATAAAATTATTTTTATTTAATGACTTTTTGATATTTTAAACAAAGCTCAACAAAATATATTTTAATGACTTTAAAATCAAACTTTTAAAAAATACTCGTGAAGTTTGATTGCTATAAATACTTTATTGATGTAGATTTTTGGGTCACTACTTATATAAGCTTACGATGATCAGGTCACATAATTATTTTTCTTTTTTTTAGTGTGTGTACGCGTTCAATAAATTCTCGATTCAAATAAAATAGTTTTAACCCATCAATATTCACTAGTGCTCACTCCAATTGGTATATATATATTTTTTTTATATGATGATATTTTATTTGGTTGACAATTTTTTTTCCCCATAGTGGAATAATTATAATTGCTTTTATGAGCTGGATATATACAAATGAATTGCAAATTTCAAGTAAGTGCTAGATGATATCACCATCAATGATTTCCAAATAATTTTATTGTGGAGTTTGCTAAGTTCTTTTTCTTATATTTTAATCTGTTTTGTTTGTTATGTTGTTAAAATTCTTAAAAATATTGTTGTATTTATATCAAATTTTTAAAAAAGTACTACGAAGCTAACATGTTTTATTAACATTCTTAAAGAGTTTAAACAACATAGAGAGTTTGTACCATAATTGAATAATTATAATAAAGACTTACGGTGAAATTTTGAGATGACTTGTACCGTAATTAAAAATTTCATATTTACGTCATGAAATGAAAAAAATCTTCTTTGGAGAGTCGTTTTAAACGCCGTTTTCAGACATGACCACTATAATATTCAAATTTAAATTTTATCGTACTTCATTATAAATTAAGGAAACAAATTAATTAAGAGTATAGTTATCTTATTTTCAATATATCTAAAAAGAAAAAAAATTGGACATTTTCACATACAATCTAAATTCCTACCATTTATTAGGCATTTTTTTAAATAAAAAAAGTGGAATATATCAACACTATTGTTACATGCTTTCTTTCTAATGCAATTGAAGGTTAAAAAAGATTCAATAACAACAAAAACAATAACAATAATAACATAATATATTCGGTATAATTTCACAACAGAAATTTAAAAAAAAATAATGTATATATACAGATCTTAGTACTTCTAACGAGATCGTTCTCAATTAATTCTTAATTCGAAAAAAAATGCACTAAATTTTCACTATATGCGAACTCCGAAGAAAGAGTGGAGAAATGTCCACTTAATATAAAGGTATTTTGTGCAAATTTTGACCAACCAAATTTGAGTTTTGACACTATCAAATATGCCTTCTGCCAAACACACTTTGACTCCATGATATTATACCTAAGTTTAACAACCATAAAAAAGAACAATTTTTTTTGTTTTAACATGTGATATAAAACAAACAATAGACATTTTTTTTTTATATCTATAAATCATATTAATTTCTTTAAAGTTATAAATAAACTATAAAGGGATTGTTTTAACAATATTTTCACAACTTTTTATTGATATATTGAGTTTCTTCTTTATAGATGAGTCCAAGGTAAGTCTTTGTTCTTTTTTTGGCTTTGTGATCACATTTATGTGTATGGCTTTCTTGTGTATGAACACGTAGACACCTCAACTCGTCTTCAATCTGTCAGTTAAACGCTCCAATTTACAAAATGATTAGACACCTTCCACATATATGTGTCGCGTCAGGGTGTTCAAAATGACACTCTGGGGACGAGTTGGAGTGTTTAGCTATCAGTTGAGACGAAGAGTCAAAATGTGTGCACTCTTACTTGCCCCAGTTGAGGTCAAGTTAAAGTGTCTGTTTATGTATTATGCCCGACATCATTTCAATGTTTGATCATCTGTCTGTTTGTTGTATAGAATTTTTTCTTTATCCGCGGATGTTTCACTTGATTCACCTGGATCAATTTTAGAAAGAATTCATATCGACGATACTAGTAGTGGTGTCCAAAGTAGAGAAAGAAGCTTCTTAGCTTACCAATCCAATTCACTCGACAAGGTCTCGAGTCCAGTTAGAAGAGAAGTAGCCAACAGGTGTTTCCAGTTGATGCCTATGTCTTCATCTTTTGTGTTATTGCCTTCTATGACACTCCTCTTGTATACATTGATGGTATTCACGAACCTGTTTCAGAGTCGTGTGGTAGCTGGTTAGAGTTATGCAGACATTAGTAATACCAGCTTTCTAATTTTATTGATATTTTCTCTTCTTCAGACCTTTTTTCATGATGGCTGTAAAACGAATTGACAACGATGTTGAAAATGGAAAGTTGGAGATCAAAGAGAAGTCGAAACGTAACAATATGATTGTCACAGTACAGAACAAAGCGTTGCTATCAGGAATTGCATACTGTATATCTTCATGTAGCATGATATTAGTTAACAAATACGTCCTTTCGAGCTATAATTTCAATGCAGGGATATCATTGATGCTCTATCAGGTACCTTTAATCTTTTAAACTATTCGATGAATTTCATATATTTGAGAAATGAATTACAATTTCAACTCGTTCTGCAGAATTTCGTCTCTGTTGTTGTGGTTTCTATATTGAGCTTCTCTGGTGTAATTTCCACGGAACCACTCACGTTGAGGCTGATCAAAGTCTGGTTGCCTGTTAATGTTATATTTGTCGGAATGCTTATCAGTAGTATGTTCAGGTATGTTGAATAACACTTGCGTTTCACCAATGTGAAGTTATTTGTATCGTAATTTTGTAAAAATGATATGATGATGTACTTGTGGTTGTTATATTTCGTGCAGTTTGAAGTACCTAAACGTTGCTATGGTTACTGTTCTGAAGAATGTTACTAATGTGATTACTGCTGTTGGTGAAATGTATATATTCAACAAACACCATGATAGTCGAGTGTGGACCGCTCTTATACTGATGGTATGCTCGTAGCTTGAACATGATATCTCTTCTTCGATTCATTCTGTGCAATTTATGCTTTCGTTGTCTTCTTGACATTGGACTTTGTGTTGGAGAGACAGGGAGTTATCGCGTAGTTTCTTATTCTTCAATGAGTATTACTATCTGTTGTTGTAGCCTAGCCTGCACTTGTCTTGTATGTTGCTACTTTGCTGTTTTTAGTTTTCTTACAAACGCGTGTTGGTTACACTTCTTTTGAGCCGAGTGTCTTATCAGAAACAACCTCTCTACTTCGGAAAGATAGGGGTAACGTCTCTGTACATCTACCCTCCTCAGACCTCGGGATTACACTGGATATATCGTTGTTGTATATGTTGGCTGATTTGTACCAAGCGCGGAGCTTTTGATCATGGACCTAATTAAGTCACCTAAGATCCTGGCTTGGTATAAATCGGCCAAAATATAATAGTACAACAACATATTCAGTGTAATAAAAAAGTAAGGTCTACGAAGGGTAGTGTGTATGCAGACCTTACCCCTACTTGGGAGGTAAAGAAGTCGTTTATGATAGACCCCCGACGACTCAAGGAAAAAACAAATAGCGAAGAAACCAAGACAGTATTGAAAACAGAATAGTAACTACAACAAAATAATACGATAACAGAAATCAGACTCGAGATCAAAATTTGAAAGACAGTAACTCTGTAGTTTGCTATGCAGATTGTTTCAGCAGTCTCTGGAGGAATTACAGACCTATCTTTTCATGCTACTGGTTATACATGGCAGATAATCAATTGTTTCTTGACAGCATCATACTCTGTAAGTGAATACTCCGTTCGTTTCGATTTGCTTGTCTTACGCTCCTTTTTAGTCCGTTTAAAAAAAGAATGCATCTTTCTCTTTAGGGAAACTCGATCTTTATTTCTAAACTTTTCTCCGTACATGTTTAAGAGCACAAAATTAAAGAATATTCTTGTACGTTAAATTAAAAAAAGAAGGAAAGAAAAAAAACTATCTACTCTTTATTAATAAAATGTTTTAGAACTTTGAATTGAACCAATCAAATCTTATATATTAACAATTAAAGTTCTTACATCAACGTCCAGCGTGATTTATTGCAAATAAATGTCTAATATCTTATTAATTAGAAAAATAAAAATATTACTATGTAAAATTAAATGTTTAATGTCTTTAATGAAAATACACTAAATACAAGTAATAATATATAAGAACCAGAAAAAGACAATCCTAAATTGAAATTTATATATTTTATGTCTCTTACTATAATTTGTTTTTTAAGCCACTAATTTTATTGAGACACATTGACACAATATACTATTTATATTATTTTATTGATTACTTTGCTTTGACGCAGTGTTCATCTAGGAAAATGCAATTCTTTACCTCGTCTTTTAATTTTCTCTATACAATAAATTTTATCAATATTTACGAGTTTCAAATTAGCACGTAGATAGCATGGGAAAGTATAAACTTCATTTCATATGATTTTGGATCCAACAATCGCTGGATTGTAGATTGAAATCTGTTGTTTTGTATAGTTTAATAACAAAAGTTGTTATTTATATAATTATTAGTGCTCAAATATTTCAGTGTTCATGTTGCCATCGAATTTCGTTAGGTCAATAATGTTCGAGACAACAACAAAATTTTGATAGTTGCAAATTTCTTTATGAATTATGTAATCCCAATAGTGCTCAGAAGTTCAGAACTCGAACGAGTATGAGCTCGTCCCCTCTACTTTTGTTCCGACTTATGTACAAGAGGCCATAGTAGGGTTCAAACTCGTGAAATACTTTTTTTCCCCCAAAATGACAAGAAGTTAAACTGTCATGTTTTTGTTGTTATGTTTCAGTTGACTCTACGTAGAATCATGGACACCGCTAAGCAAGTAACAAAATCAGGAAACCTGGACGAATTCTCAATGGTTCTGCTTAACAATACCCTTTCATTGCCTTTAGGCCTTCTCCTCGTACTATTGTTCAATGAAGTTGATTACCTCTCCACGACGTGAGGCTCTACTATCTCACTACATTACCCTCTTCGTTTATTTTTGTTTGATTTTACGCTCTAATTTAAGAGTTAATAAGGAGATAACTTTGGTATACATGTGTATATTTTGTTTGACAGACCACTATTACAATTGCCAACATTTTGGATTGTGATAACATTAAGTGGATTTTTGGGCTTAACTATTAGCTTCACATCTATGTGGTTTCTTCATCAAACAAGTGCAACTACATATAGGTATCACTATATTTCTTCCTTTGAAAAAATGTTATCACATTCGTATCAGATTATTCGAAACTGCACTACTTTTGAAGGATCTGATACGTACCAGACGAAATTTACCTAACTTCTTGACTTTGCATTTTTTGCAGCCTTGTGGGATCACTAAATAAGATCCCTCTCTCTGTTGCTGGTATTTTCCTTTTCAATGTCCCAACTAGTCTTGACAACACTGCAAGTATATTTTTTGGTTAGTAACAACTTTTTTTTTCTTTTCTCAATTGAAAATGTGTTTTTGTTTAGCAAAAAAAAAAAAAAAAATCATGAAAAAAAATGTAAAACAATTTGCAGGCCTCTTGGCTGGAGTATTTTTCGCCCAAGCAAAAATGCAGGAGAAATCTCAATCCTAATACAACAACATATTCAGTGTAATTTCACAAGTGGTCGAATCTGAAGAGAATGATGTATACACAGTCTTAATCCTCTATCTTGAAAAGATAGTGAGATTGTTTCCGATTAGAAATCTCTAATCCTAAATTGTTGAAAACCTTTTCTTCTTTGCTTCATAGATTAAGCTTTTGAGTTGAATTGTAAAACATGTATAGTCATAAACATAGTGATTCTCTATACATTGAACACTATTATATTGAAGAGTTTAAAAATATATATTTTTTTTTACCTAAAGTATTTCGATTTCTTGAGTTTCATACCTGAATAATTATGTGCATGAATTTCCTACTGATATTATAAAAAGGAATCAATTCGATACCATGATATTATACTTAGAACAAAATAAAAAAATAAAATGAAATAGCGACTACTAAATTTCAAAATTAAATTCCACTTGTTACTTTTAATTTATAATCATAAAATAATCATTTTATCTTTTTGAAAAAAAAAAGTTTTTTTTTTCTTTCTTTTTTTAGTTTAACAAATTAAATTAAAGTAATTGTTATTTTCAAGTGCTAAGGAAAAACTGAGAAAGATAAAAAAAAAAAAATTTCCTTTCTCTTTTGGTTCCTTCCCTCTTCGAAAGTTACAAATCAAAATCACTTCGAATCAAATTACAATATACAAAATCGATTTGTCAAAAATCTCACAAAATTATTTTCACAAATCTGACGAAGAATTATAACAAATCTGATCCAAAATTAAACTTTTGGTACAAATCTGAGGAACAACAAAATGGAGATTATTTTGTTATTATGATTTTGATGAGAAAAAAAAAATGAAATTTTTTCTCAAAATCTGAGATTTCAGATCCATTTTTTTGACTACCGGCGGTGATGGATGAGCTAGAATTCCGACGGCTTCTCGAACGTTTTCCGATCGTCCGATTTCGAGATTATCATGTAAATTAATCTCTCTTTTTTTTTAAAAATAATATATATTTATCTCCTTATGAATCTATTTTTACTTTTTTTTTTAGGCAAGAATAATTGTTTATTAGATTTTAATTTGATTGGCATTTTCTGGATTTTTTAAAAAAAAATTATTAAAAGAGGAAAGATGGATTTTCCCCTTATTAATGCTACATTTTGATTGGTGGTAATAGTTATCACGATTTGAAATTTATGAGTTCGGAATTATAGAGTAAAGTTGTATTTGTTATACACTACAAGCACAAGTATTAATTAACTTTGACTTCCAAGAATTTTTTATTTATTTGATAACTGTGGTGTTCGAGTCCGTTTTGAATAATTTCACGTGATATGTGTCACCCTGTCTCATTCCATTTTATATGACACCATTTTCTTTTTAGTCAGTTTAAAAAAGAATGACACATATTGTTATATGATAAGTATTAAATGTATAATTTTTTTTTAACCCTTATTGGTCCCACTTAATCTTAAAAATAATACTTTAATACATTTACGAGGAGAATAGAAAAGTGAGTCTATTTTTTAATATGACTTTTTTTTTGTCTCTGTTGGAATTTGAATGTGGAACCTACTTCATTGAACACGAAACTACACTCTTGGGTGCAAAAACCTTGCATTTTTTTTTAGCTCTGGTCTCAACGTGTTTTTCATCCACTTTATTGATTATCAGGCCTCATTCTTGGCTCAAGATTTTGCTCAAATTGGAGTAGACATGTGAATGTAGAAGGCTGTACCTATTTTGAATTGAGAGTTTGTTGAAGCAAAATCTCATTTTCTTGTTTATCATCTGTTTGTTACATGACTTAACTTGTTATGTTACTTAGCAAATAAAAGGGCTTACTTTATGCACAAAAAATGCCTCCTCAGATAGTGTAGGATCAGAGGAGAGTGGTTGAATACCTGTGAAAACTTCTCACATTCTTGCAAAGAGATCATTTTAATGCGTTGAACCATTGGTATATCCCGTTGTAGACTCTCCTCGTGACTTCAGTTACGATGCTCCAACATGTTTTCTTGATCCATATTGTCTTGGTTTGATATAATCTGTTTTCTTGATCCAACATGCTATAACGTCGTTACTCTATATGTCTATGCCTTTTTTTGCTGATATGTGCTTGATATCATCTAACTAACTTGTGCGTATTTCACAGATTGATTCAGACCCATCGAAAAGATCAGCTTCTCAGTCGATAGAGAAAGAGGAGGTAGAAGAGAAGTTTTTCCGCGTAAAAAATTATCTTTTCTTTCAGTTCTTGACTTTTTCTTCCTAACAGTAAATATTGCATCAGGAAAGACAATGGAAAGAGACATGGAGTAAGGGACATAAACCAGAGACTGGAATTCAAGCGATGCATCGTGGTAATATGGACTCTCTATCAATTGTTTTTGCTTGCACCATAACTTATTTATTATACAACTTGCAACGAAACTTCTTAGTTATAGAATCATCGTGGAAGAAAGTGTACGAGTCAAGGAAGAAACATTGAGATTAAGTAATAGAATATAGACGCAAGTAAGCAGTTATCGAGTTTAAAATAAGAGGAAGTCGTTTGAGCTATATGAGTATTTCATCTATGTGTTCAATACTATGATGATTGATGGAGCTAAAACTGGATGAGTTAGACCTAAAATCATATTTGTTTAGATAAAGATATTGATGTTGCTGTTAGTTTGTTACGATTATTAAGTTATTAGTATGGTGTTTGTGAATTCTTAACCTTTTGTTGACGATTGAGTAACTATATCGACTTAAACGTTACAGGTCCATTTTGGGGCAAAGTGAGAGAAGCTGCTGAGAAAAAGGTGAGTCGTGTTATCATCTTTTGCTATATATAATGTTTCCGTTGGGTGATCGTGAACAGTCTTCATAATCCCATGTTATTAGAAGTCGATGTAGCCTTAGAGGAACAAAACTTGAGTCGAAGGTCTGTCAGAAAGAGCCTTCTTAACCCACAAGATAGGGCTAAGGTCTGTGTACACCCCATCCTCTCCAGACCCTAGAGTCGTACTGGATTTGTTGTTGTTGGCTTAGAGGAACAAGAAAAGCCATTTTAAAATGCTCTTGTGATACATAATTGAACATCTTTTCAAATGTATATGATGAATTTTCCATGATATGATTGGAAAAATTATGGAAATAACGACAACATAACCAGTGAAATCCAACAAGTGGGGTCTGGAGGAAGGTATAGTGTATGCAGATCTTATCTATTACCGTTACCTCGTTGAGGTAGAGAGGCGAAAGGAGGGATGCAAGCACTAGGACTTTCCAGAGGTCACTCATCCTAGTACTACTATCGCCCAAGCAAACTTAACTTCTCTCTGATATGTATTTCAGATATTGAAGGAAAATCTTCTAGCAGCTTTAAGCGCTCAATCAGGAATCCAATACGATCCTACGGAGGAAGTGATGATGGCTGCTCGACACATTGCTGATCAAAGGCATGGTTCAAGTGGTGCAGGTCCATCTCATATACCGCGTTCTTCAGACTATGCATCATCGTCAATACCAAACCGAATGACATGTGTTGAGGAGGATTTGGATCGCATACGCCATTTTCAAGCCTATCAAGTGAAACACAATCAAGCAGTTGCTGAAATGCTGCGAACAATGGCACTTCATCATGGAATGAACATGGATAAGTTTCCTACTTGTCCGTCATATATTCCCCCTAGGGACAAGGCAATACTCGATGATGATGACGACGAAGATGATGAAGAGGACGAGGATGACGATGAGGAAGATGAGGAGTGACACACACCCTATTCAGTAATGCTTCATTTTTTCTAATACACATCCCTTGCCCTTTGAAAGAACACAAAAAAAAAAAAAAATTAGTGTGGAAGATCATTTTTGTTAATTTTGATTGATGAAGTTTTTAGTATACACCTTTTTTGGTCCTAGGGTGGGTAGGGGGTGAGTGTGGGGGTGGGGATGATATGAAAAGTGAGGAACTCTGTTTGGTAGGGGAGGTCCCAAAATTTATGAATAGTACCTCCAAACTTGTAAAGTTATGTAACAATTTTGATGAGGAAATTAAAATTGCTTTTTTTTTATTTTGTTTCTTTTTCTATTTAGCAAACATCTGACGGAGTCCTATGCGGTGCGAATCTGGAATAGTCGAACTAATGGGGTACCTGAAACCGAGTGAAAAATCGTAAAATAAACAATTCCTCCCCCTTACCACTTGTCTTCTATACATTGCACAATTGTGAGAGTCAACAACTTTATTGTTCTTTCGACCGCACTACAAAAAATGTATTATTGTTTTCATGCTAAGTCATAAATTAGAAAAGGTCATATTTAGGAAAAGTTTACCAAAATTTCTCTATTGATTGTGGAGATCGACTTGATTCGATATATACAATTGTTAGAGGTTATGTCTTTTATCGCGTTATTCTATTACTATAGAGAGGTAGATGACAAAGACAAGGAATTTCTCTTTAGGTTGTATACCAACAAATATACAACCTAGTATTAGTATATAACTAACTGTTTAGATGTTAGAACTTAGACTATTCTATCTGATTTTTTATTTTGTGTAATTGATTGATAAAGATCGAATTTGCTCGTATTTTCGTTTGAATATATGTTTTTGTATATGTAAACACTATTAGAGTCTGTTTGGATTGTCTACTTATAAACCATTAGCCAATATTCATAGTAACTTTAAACATTTTGTATCATTTTAGCTGAAAATCAAGTGCTTATAAAAGCTTTTAAATTTACTCAAATACTCCAAAAGTATCTAAAAGGTTATACTTATATAAAGGCTATCATAATTCTTTATCATACGAGTATATTTAAATCAAGGTTGGATAAACTATGATTATCGATTGATCATATTACAAAAATTACTAAACCATAGCGAATTAATTTAGTATGATATTTAAAAAAAATATATAAATTAAAATTATCCAAACAAAATTTCAAATATCTTATCATACCATACCATGCACACCCAAACACGAAAATTGGACGACTTTTGTCAGCTCAACTTCTTGCTAATTAAAACATATTTAATAAAAAATAAAAAATATTATTATTTTGATAAAGTAGTTAAATATATTATGAACTTGGAATGATGAGAAAATCAATTAAATTAATATTTTATACTTATAAGTAGGTTAATGTTTAATATGATAGTTTATTTTGTTGGCATCTCTCATATAATAATTCATAAATAATATTAAATAATATAATTGATGTAAAGATCCACACTAGCTTGTTAATGGTTTTTTTTTCTGTGAAATAAATATCTTTTTCCTATTGTTCTAAATTAAAGGATATCAGTACACTATTTAACAATATTATTTTTGAAGGTATATGATAAAATTAAATAAGAAAAGTCTAA